TCTCCCACCTCATCCTCCTTTTAAATTCCTTTAATTCCTCCTTAAAGCCTCTGGCTGTGACGGCAGAGGATGAGATGGTTAGATAGCATCACTGAAGCAATGAGCATGAAACTGAGCAAACTCAGGGAGGCAGTGAAGGACAGGAAGGCCTGGCGCAATATGGTTCATGGGGTCACAAAGAGTCGGACACGACTTAACGACTGAACAACAACAACAACGTTTTGAAAACCAGGTTTCAAATGTTTATGGTAGTTTATAAAGACATGTTCATTGCTATAGTTCATTGCTTGGGTAGAGCAGACTAACCATTCTTAGAACTCTCTACAACCTTATTATGTGAGGCTGTCTGTAAATACGTGAGATTAATAGAGATGTATGTGGACAGAGGAGCTTGTAGAACTGTGCAGACTCCTCTAAAAGGCACTTTTCATTTCTAACATTGTGCATCCATTTCTGTTAAACATGCACAATTATTATCTAATAACAACAATGCCTACAACTGTATTGGGTGCAAAGCCCAGCTATGTTATAGACAGGTACAGAAAAGAACTTTTCATCCCAACTTCCTTCTAGGAGGCGTTAGCTCGTAACAAAATCAATGATAAGCCACGGTGATCGATGACGGAAAAATCCAAAATCACTGATCAGGACCAACCAAATAGTTCAAGAGTGCACAAACGTTTGTGTTCTCCAGAACTTTTCGTAAGATAAATGAGCCATTTTGAAGAATTTGGCAGGTTGCAGATTCTTTTGTTCTATTTTGGTCAGTCCTAATACAATAAAAGGTATGGATTTTGGACTGCTTCCCACAGTCCATTTTCAAGCTGCAGAACCAGGAGGAGGCGTATTGAGGTCCTCTGCTTTCATCCGGCAAGTGAGCTGATGGCTAACAGGACTGAATTATAAGACAATTCTTCAAGGACAGGACCCTTTAGTGCACCCAAGTGCTGCGTAACTGATACCCAAGATGCAGCTACGTCAGACGCCCAATTTATACATGCAAATGAGTAACTTCTGATAATTGGACACACTCTCTCAGCTCAACATACTTGGCAGGACTGTGTGAGCAACCCTCTTGAACCCCTCTCCCAAAGCAAAATGTAAGTATAAATAAGTGACATGAGTTTCTGAAAAGAACATTAGGGGGGAAGGACAGAAACATCTCGTCAGAAACGGCTTCTGTACCACAAATGAAAATATACAGAGTTTTATTTTTGCTGTGCATGCTCCAAGGAGGGGCATGGAGTGAAATAAAAGCGAAGTGAGGGATTTTGTTATTTCCAGCTACAGATCTGGTAGCTGAGTTGAAACCGACTGAGAAAGAACAGGACTTTAGGGCTGGGATCCCCATGGGTGGGACTGATTAAGGGGGGGGCAATTTCTCCTTCTTCCAAAACTCCATTTTGGACATGGCAAATCCACAGGCAGGGCATCACAGCTCTGGGTCGACGCCACTGATATTAAAAATGCAGGACCTGTATAAAGGAAGCCCAGAACTCCTAGGCATCACAGAAGAGCACAAGGAAGGGGTGTGTAAATGTAAGCCTAGGAGCACAACTGTATGTATCAGTCTTTCTCAAACTTGGCAACTTTAAGACATGCGGGTTTCAACTCCCAGAATTCCCCAGCCAGGAATTCTGGGAGTTGAAGTCAACCTGTCTTAAAGTTGCCAGGTCTGAGAAACACTGGTATGTGTACATACATACATACATACATACATAAAGGTGAGATGATCATCATCATCATCATTTCGATACCTCTAGGACCATACATGGAAATGGATTTACTCCTCCAGCTTTCACGAGAACTTCCCTCCCCCCCGCCATTCTCCTAACAACCCTGTAAGGTAGGACCAGCCCACGGGGGTAGAGGTGTGCGTCATCCCCCAGAGGACAGGGATGATGGGTGCTACAGTCCAAGAAGCGTGGAAGGCACCAGCCACGCCCACACACCTTCAAAGAGCGCTTCCTAAGGCGGGGGGAGACAGGCCCGAGGGGGCGGAGCCAGCTGACCGACCCTCCTCCCCCGCCCGCGGTGACGTCACTCCCGCGGCCCCTTCCAAGCGGCGGGGGGGGGGGCGGCCAGGGGCCCTCACCTGGCATGATGGTGTAGAGCCGGCGCTGCTGCTGCCGCGCCCGCTTCCTGCGCTTGGCCTCCTGCTCGAGGCGGATGAGGGAGGAGCACGAGTGCGCGCCGCTGGCGTAGGGCGGCTCCTCCTCCTCCTCCTCCCCGGGGTAGGCGGAGCCCTCCATCGCGCTCCGGAAGGCGCATGCGCGCTCTTGCCGCGCGGGGAGGGCCCTGGGGAGCCGCGCCTCCCGAGGGCCCGCGGCCTCGCGCTTTGTTGATCACCTAGGCGACGGCCTCGTGGGCGGGGCTGAAGGCGGCTCTGTCTGTGGGAGGTGCTGGTGGCGTCATCGGGCTAGGCTCCGCCCCCGATGCTACGAAAGAAGGACCGAACTCGGAGGGCGCGGCAGGGAGGCGGCGTACAGTTGCCGGATCTTGGCGTGTTAACGCCTCTGAGCACGTGCAGAGTTTTTCCTATTCACCCTACCGTGCCGCTGAACGTCATTCTTGTTATGGTGCTGTTGAGGCCCTACAACGCTGCGGGAACCACAGGGCAGCCTCTCTGAGATAACGTGGCTCCGGGCACGTGCAGAGTTTTTTTTAAGTACGGCACGTGTAGAATTATTTATGCCACGCGTAGAACGATCTAGGCAAGCCAGCTTTATCAAGGGCCCCAGCCGGATCGAAATAACATCCCCAAATAACATCTGCCAGCGCTCTTCGAGATCGTCGGAATGCAAAAACTCAAGGTTCGTCTCCGAGCCGGGAATAAATGCGCGGGCGGCTGCCTGAAGGAGAGGGGAAGCTTTATTTCCGAGCGCCCGATGCACCAGACCAGCAGCTGTCGGGGCGGCCGCCTCGGGGCTTTTATAGGGAAGACCCTTAAAACCTTTTAAAACTTAAAACCTTTTTAAAAATTAAAAAAAATTAATTAAAAATCTTAAAAACGCAGGGAAGCCGCCCCATAGGATTCCTTAGGGAAGGCAATCAGCCGGGATTCCAGGAGGGGCGCTGGCCGCTGGACTGGCCGGGGAGCGATGGGCCGACCGGGTCAGGCACGCCGCTGAGCTGCGGTCTCCTGCGCCTGCTTCTCGGCTATTGCCTGACTGGAGTGCAGGTCTCTTCGGAAGAAATCTTTCCTGACTCGACTTCTGGGTGTAAGGAATGCTGGCCCTTCCTGCCAGGTCTTTCCTTATTTAATTTTGGGCTAGGGTGGAGGGCCCTTGATTCTTTCTGCGACCGCTGAATCTTTTGAGGTGAGCCCATTCTTACTATAATTTAGCCCGAGGCCTTGATTGCTGTTAAGATAAAGAATGGGAGGGTGAGACCAATGGGAAACTTTGGCTTCCTGCTGACCTGGGGCGGAGAATTTGATTTCCTTCTCACAAGAGTAAATAAGACGAAGCAACATTCTCTGAAAAAGCAATTTATTGCGACATGATGACATCTGCAAGTCCTGGCCTGTGCAACACAAAAGGTTTTAATATTGTACACTGCTAGAAAGGAAGAGTTGCTTTTGATTTAGACCTTCCTGCTCTGCATATCTACAGGGACACCTGTAGTATGGGAATTGTTAAACAGGTTTATAGCATAGGGACTGGTTAGTTCAAGGGAGGCAGTGCACTTGAGGTTGGCTTATTCAACAGGCTGTAAAACAAGCCACGATTTGGTGCAACGGATGAACCAGAG